GGGCCTCGACCTCTTTGCTGTGAGGAGTACAGAGTGCTCACTGTGTTGGCGAGGGTTTACTCCGAGAGGCTTCGGTTTCCTCCCACATTTTAAATAATTATAATCAAATAAAAATCATATAAATTATATTTCTGGTTTTTAAAATCTTTATTATTATTTTCTACCTGGATGAAGATGTGTAACTGGTATCTCCTGCTAACTTTTTACATTTTTGTTAATTATGACTAAATATGAATAAAGTTTAAGAAATACACCATAAAATTCTACACTGATGTTATCCTCACATAATGTTAAAATAAAGTTTAAAGTCTAACAGGATTTCCTCAGACTGCTCATTTAGTATCATTGAGGAAGAAAATTGGTCCACTTCTTTTAAACTTGTGTTAACCAAAGACCTCAGGCATCTGACCAAAACCCATTCAAATAAAACCCCCATTGATTTCAAGGTGAGGGAACCTTAAGGTCGAACATGTTGACTAACTTCTGGACTCACTTCTGCAGCTCAATGAGTGAAAATTAACAGCAAACGGCATTTTTCTCTCAAACACTGATGAGGTCTGTTGGTTTATAGCTGTCACCCTCATTGTATTCCATTATATTCCAGGTTTCTTCTGCCCCCTACTGGTTGGACAGAGCTTTTGACCAATTTCAGGGGTTTTATTTCAAAAGCTATATTATGCAATACCTTAAATACGTCTGTTACCAAAGACAAACTAAGAACTGGACCTCTCAACATAACCTGTTGTGTGGCTGCAGTACTTTTCCACACATCCAACTTCTCTTAATGAAATAAGCCTTTTAAATTAAAGTGTCATATTGTCTTAGTATTATCATATATTAGCTATGGGTATTTAATTCTTTTAATTTGTATATTTGTTTAAACTGTTTAAATTATTTGCCCCTGTACGTTAATTCTGCAATATGTTTTATCTGTTTTATTGTTAGTATTTATTTTTACTGACTTTATTTTTTGCCTGGCGCCTCCTGAAATGTTTTTAATCCTGCTTCGGGCAACGAAAGGCACTTTGTAACTTTGTTTTTTAAAGTGCTGTATAATATAATACTATTATTATTATTATTATTATTATTATTCCTCTCTATAGTTCCTCTCTCTGTCTTATTTGTTGGTTTCTGGACAGTTATTTATTTTAAATCCAGCCTAGATTACATCTGTTCATAACATAATTTACACTGCTTTGTGTTGTTTCTATCAATCAACAAAAACATACTTATTTACTGACTATACTTAATTATATATTAATTAACTTTAACAGAAGTGCATTGGTTTTAATTCAACAACTCACAAAGTTCAGGGGATTACAACAGGCCTGTTAGCTGTGCGCATGCTCAGTCTGCAGCACCCGCGCTGAGGACCACTGTCATGTTATTGCATAGGAAATATAATACTTCCTGTGTGCACCTTCAAAATAAAACGTACTGAGCGGGTTTCGAACCTGTGTGCTCCAAAAGGACGTCTGAAAAAAAGAAAAAGTCTTATATTTATACAGTTTGATGTCATAGTAGCACTCATAAAATATAAACAGATTTTATTTAAACACTGACGCTGCTTTTAAGTTGAAAATGACAATTTATTGGTAGATTTACCTGTTCATTAATGTAATACATCGATCAGAGTAACGGGAGTAACGAGAGTAACGAGAGTAACGAGAGTAACGGGAGTAACGAGAGTAACGGGAGTAACGAGAGTAACGGGAGTAACGAGAGTAACGGGAGTAACTGGCTGCTCAACGGCCACTGACGGTGTGTTGGTGCTGGTCAGGTAGCGTTTACATTTTAATATATTTAATACGTTTTAAATTTATTTTACTCCTTTTTGTTTCCTTATTTATTGATTTATCTATTGATTATATATATATATAAATATATATATAATATATAATATATATATATATTTATAATTATTGGTATTTAACATTAACGTTAGCAGAGATAAGCTAACTAGCTTTGGTGCTTTAAACATTAACGTTAGCAGAGATAAGCTAACTAGCTTTGGTGCTTTAAACATTAACGTTAGCAGAGATAAGCTAACTAGCTTTGGTGCTTTAAACATTAACGTTAGCAGAGATAAGCTAACTAGCTTTGGTGTTTCGAACATTGGTGTTAGCAGAGATAAGCTAACTAGCTTTGGTGCTTTAAACATTAACGTTAGCAGAGATAAGTTAACTAGCTTTGGTGCTTTAAACATTAACGTTAGCAGAGATAAGTTAACTAGCTTTGGTGCTTTAAACATTAACGTTAGCAGAGATAAGCTAACTAGCTTTGGTGTTTCGAACATTAATGTTAGAAGATAAGCTAACTAGCTTTGGTGCTTTAAACATTAACGTTAGCAGAGATAAGCTAACTAGCTTTGGTGTTTCAAACATTAACGTTAGCAGAGATAAGCTAACTAGCTTTGGTGCTTTAAACATTAATGTTAGCAGAGATAAGCTAACTAGCTTTGGTGCTTTAAACATTAACGTTAGCAGAGATAAGCTAACTAGCTTTGGTGTTTCGAACATGAATGTTAAGAGATAAGCTAACTAGCTTTGGTGCTTTAAACATTAACGTTAGCAGAGATAAGCTAACTAGCTTTGGTGTTTCGAACATTAATGTTAGCAGAGATAAGCTAACTAGCTTTGGTGCTTTAAACATTAATGTTAGCAGAGATAAGCTAACTAGCTTTGGTGCTTTAAACATTAACGTTAGCAGAGATAAGCTAACTAGCTTTGGTGCTTTAAACATTAACGTTAGCAGAGATAAGCTAACTAGCTTTGGTGTATTTCGAACATTAATGTTAGCAGAGATAAGCTAACTAGCTTTGGTGCTTTAAACATTAACGTTAGCAGAGATAAGCTATCTAGCTTTGGTGTTTCGAACATTAATGTTAGCAGAGATAAGCTAACTAGCTTTGGTGCTTCGAAACATTAATGTTAGCCGAGATAAGCTAACTAGCTTTGGTGCTTTAAACATTAACGTTAGCAGAGATAAGCTAACTAGCTTTGGTGCTTTAAACATTAACGTTAGCAGAGATAAGCTAACTAGCTTTGGTGTTTCGAACATTAATGTTAGCAGAGATAAGCTAACTAGCTTTGGTGCTTTAAACATTAACGTTAGCAGAGATAAGCTAACTAGCTTTGGTGTTTCGAACATTAATGTTAGCAGAGATAAGCTAACTAGCTTTGGTGCTTTAAACATTAACGTTAGCAGAGATAAGCTAACTATCTTTGGTGCTTTAAACATTAATGTTAGCAGAGATAAGCTAACTAGCTTTGGTGCTTTAAACATTAACGTTAGCAGAGATAAGCTAACTAGCTTTGGTGCTTTAAACATTAACGTTAGCAGAGATAAGCTAACTAGCTTTGGTGCTTTAAACATTAACGTTAGCAGAGATAAGCTAACTAGCTTTGGTGTTTCGAACATTAATGTTAGCAGAGATAAGCTAACTAGCTTTGGTGCTTTAAACATTAACGTTAGCAGAGATAAGCTAACTAGCTTTGGTGTATTTCGAACATTAATGTTAGCAGAGATAAGCTAACTAGCTTTGGTGCTTTAAACATTAATGTTAGCAGAGATAAGCTAACTAGCTTTGGTGCTTTAAACATTAATGTTAGCAGAGATAAGCTAACTAGCTTTTGTGCTTTAAACATTAATGTTAGCAGAGATAAGCTAACTAGCTTTGGTGCTTTAAACATTAACGTTAGCAGAGATAAGCTAACTAGCTTTGGTGTTTCGAACATTAATGTTAGCAGAGATAAGCTAACTAGCTTTGGTGCTTTAAAATTATTGACGTTAGCAGAGATAAGCTAACTAGCTTTGGTGCTTTAAACATTAATGTTAGCAGAGATAAGCTAACTAGCTTTGGAGCTTTAAACATTAACGTTAGCAGAGATAAGCTAACTAGCTTTGGAGGTTTAGTCATTAACGTTAGCAGAGATAAGCTAACTAGTTTTGGAGCTTTAAACATTAACATTAGCAGAGATAAGCTAACTAGCTTTGGTGTTTCGAACATTAATGTTAGCAGAGATAAGCTAACTAGCTTTGGTGCTTTAAACATTAACGTTAGCAGAGATAAGCTAACTAGCTTTGGTGCTTTAAACATTAATGTTAGCAGAGATAAGCTAACTAGCTTTGGTGCTTTAAACATTAACGTTAGCAGAGATAAGCTAACTAGCTTTGGAGGTTTAGTCATTAACGTTAGCAGAGATAAGCTAACTAGCTTTGGAGGTTTAGTCATTAACGTTAGCAGAGATAAGCTAACTAGCTTTGGTGTTTCAAACATTAATGTTAGCAGAGATAAGCTAACTAGCTTTGGAGGTTTAAACATTGACGTTAGCAGAGATAAGCTAACTAGTTTTGGAGCTTTAAACATTAATGTTAGCAGAGATAAGCTAACTAGCTTTGGTGCTTCGAACATTAACGTTAGCAGAGATAAGCTAACTAGCTTTGGTGCTTTAAACATTAACGTTAGCAGAGATAAGCTAACTAGCTTTGGTGGTTTAAACATTAACGTTAGCAGAGATAAGCTAACTAGCTTTGGAGGTTTAAACATTAACGTTAGCAGAGATAAGCTAACTAGCTTTGGTGTTTTAAACATTAACGTTAGCAGAGATAAGCTAACTAGCTTTGGTGCTTCGAACATTAACGTTAGCTGAGATAAGCTAACTAGCTTTGGTGCTTTAAACATTAACGTTAGCAGAGATAAGCTAACTAGCTTTGGTGCTTTAAGCTAAGCTAATAACTCCGTTAATGGTTCTTTGGGTTCACAATCGTAACAAAAGTCACTGAATTCATTATTATTATAAAAACGTAAATTATCACAACAACAAAAAAAACCCGCCAACATTTATTTTACCTTTTGTTTTTTTTAAACAAATTGTTTTATTTTGAAACTACGCGAACAGCACTTCCTTTTTCCGCGCCGTCTCCTCCGCCGCAGCTTGACGCTGCTCGGGAGAGAGAGAGAGAGAGAGAGAGAGAGAGAGAGAGAGAGAGAGGAGAGAGAGGAGCTCCGCCAGCGGAACCAGGGAGAGCGTGGTGAGGAATCCCAGCAGCCCCAGGAGAGTGAGAGCCGGACCGGCTGGACCCCCGGAGGAGGACCCGAGAGACAACCACGTTGCCACGGGAGAGGCCTCAGTTCAGGTAACCGCGTCGTGAATCCGGGTTCCCCCGCTGCTTCCCCGGGGCGGGCAGGTGCTTCTGTGAAGAGCTGCCGGAGATGGAGAGGCGGCGGTCGGCGAGCCCGCACGTAAACCGCCCGCTATGTCTCCGGAGATCCTATTACTTACTTAACGCTACCGCCTGATTCACACGGCCTCTCCGTCCGCGGGAGGTGGCGGGCTGCTGAGCCGATAACAGGAGCTGATTGTGGGGGAAGAATTCATCCGAACCACCGTCTGTGTGTGTGTGTGTGTGTGTGTGTGTGTGTGTGTGTGTGTGTGAAACGAGCTGCACGTTTGCGCAAAAATAGAGCTGCTGATCCCCGTTTTTACTGGCTCTATTTGTAGCCATGTATTCAGATAAATACATAAAGGTGGGGCTTTATTTCGTTTAATAATACCACATATGTTTTAGTTTTTTTTAATAATTATAATGCACAGTAAGTGGCTTTACATTAATATGAGGAGAATAACATCAGTGGAGCGTTCAGGAGCACTGATATCTCACAGTTTGGTAACATTAAACAAAAATATTGCCCCCAGACTAAATCAATAATCAATAGTGGCTCAGTTTGTAAGTTTGTTTTTTTTTTTGGTGTCAGCTGAAATTAAACCTTGTTTTAATGCGTTTTTATTATTTATTTTTTACAACCTCTTGGTCTGACGCTGTGGAGCCTGTTTTCCTCTGCATGAGGAGCAATAAATTAATAATTTTTCAGAAGTGTATTGTTCTGCAGAGCACCCAGAGGGGAATGGATGCACATTAATAGTCTATGCCCATGTGTGAGCCCCAGTTTAGGCTTCTTGTCTGGTTATAAAGGTCTGGAAAGTGGAGTCTGGAGACTTACAGGCAGTTTTACTGCGTTTAAAATGATTTAAAATTGACAGAGAACTTTAAAAAGTGGCTGATTTAATAACATTTATTGGATTCTTACTATATATACCATGTTAAATGATAAACAGGCCAGTTTTATTATTAATTGTTATCAAAAGAAGGGTCCAAATGATGCACGAATAAGAATATAAACGTTATAGATTCACCTGTTATTGTTCATTAGAGAGAAACATCCCACAACCACAAGGATAAAAATCAATGCATTACTGCTACCACCATTAAATGTGACTCCACTATTAAGTGCAAAGCGATATACTATAACTTAGATTATCTTGGATGCCATTTTATTATTATTATTTATTTTTTGTACGTTCTCCTTCCACGTGAACTCAAATAACGATTGATCCGGTATTAGCTCAGCGGAGCCGTTCAACAGAGAACTTTAAGTGTCTTTGGGCCTTCGGTTGGCTGGCAGCAGGAGGAGATACTGCAGAGAGGAGATCACGATGCTGGGAGGATGGGAAGCTGGGATAGCCCTCCTCCCTCCCTCCTCATGCAGGAGTGAAGGGGAGGAGGGAGGAGGAGGAGGAGGAGGAGGGGTGAGGGATGGTCTGGCGCACCCCCCTCCCTCCCTTTTTCCTGTCTCTCTCTCCCTCTATGTGTCTCTCTCTCTCTCTGGTATACTGGTGCATTACTGCTCGCTGTTCACTTCTCTGAGTGTAATCAGTCTGTCAGCAGAAGCAGACTCAATCAGTCACTCCCCCTCCTCCTCCCTCCCCCCCCACCACCACCACCAACCACCCCCCAACCACCAACCACACTCTTCCCCTGATCTCTGACCAGAACTCTGCCAGAATCTGCCGCCGCCCGCTGTGCACATTAATGAGGCGATGCACAGTTTTCAGATTATTATCTAATCGGTGTTTTACGCGTTTTTCCGTGATAAATATTATTTTAAGGGGCAGTTTCTGTAGTTCCTTATCTCCTACTACAGACTACAACATCCATGTGTTTGTTGTTGTTGTTGGGGGGGGGGGGCTGGCACACCATTATCCTCCAGTGATACTGCCTCCGTTGATAGAAGTAGATTTGACCCTTTTTTTTCTGGGCAATTGATTGGGCAAGAGGAAGGTTGGCTGCCCCGAGGGCTAAACACTGTGTCACACAGGAGCTGTCCGTGGTGCTGCTCAGTTTCCTTTATATGGCAGAGGCCTTAAGGGAGTCTTTTTTTCTATCACTGAATGAACTGACACAGTGACATATTTTATGGATAATTCATATTATATTAAAAGTATAACAACAAACAGTAAAGAACAGCTGATTTATATCATTTTTTAACATTATTTCCTGCAAATATTGATGAGTTTTCCAGATTTTTTTTTCAGGCTCTTTTTATACAATTTAACAATTATACGTACTTAAATGTAGAATATATAATTTTTTTGCTGCTAGGGGAGCCAAATTATCCGCAGAGGTCTCCTCCTCTTCAAAACAAACAGACCTGGTGATTAAAACCGGTAAAAACACTGAATAAAAGCAGTTCCACCTTAAAAATCTCGTAAGAGGACGTCCCGGAGGGGCTGCGAGCCGAGCTGCTGCTAACGTTTGCTCAGCTTGTTTCTCTGATAACTTAAGATCCAGACGTCCGATGACGGTTCATCCGGTTCACATCTAGAGTTAAAAAGCACCAAGATCTAAACAGTGGATGGTAAAAATGTGGTTTAAAACTGATTTCTCTGAGTTTAAACATTGTTGGAAACATTTGGGATAATGTACGAACACAACTCAACTACATACAGAACATAGCTCGAATGTTTATAGACGGTTTAATGTGGAAATGTTACGTATTGTAGCTTTAAATTAACTTTTTTTGGGGGGGGCTTTTATTGCCTTTAATCACTAGTGACAGCTGTAGAGTGACAGGAGAGGGGGGAGAGGCAGCAAAGGGCCACAGGTCGGGAGTCGAACCCATGGCCGCTGCAGCAAGGACTCAGCCTTGGTGGATGGGGAGACGAGCTCTACTAGGTGAGCTACCGGCACCATTTTTAGCTCTTTGCTTTTAGCTTTTCTAATGCTGAACGAGGCTGTTGAGCAGAGGTTAAGGCTCTGTGAATATAGCTTGTGTTCAGGAGATTTTAGTTCAGTTATCTTCACAGAAATGAGTGAAATGCTGAGATACAGAGCTGCTGTATATTTAAAAGAAAGTTTTCTTACACCTCTTTAAATCAAGAAGGCCTCGCGACCCTCTGTGAAGCTTTGATGACCCCCTATTGGGGGTCAGGACCTTCAGGTTGGGAACCGGTGCCAACTATGTGGATTGCAACTCTTGATCCTGGAAAGCCTCGTCACTGTTTTTCCATCTCACCTTTACTCTACTGACACCTGATTAGCTGATCGAGTATGTTCAATCAATCAATACACTCGTCCTTAGTGTTGGGCCAGTCTTACTTTTCCTTTTATACACTTAGTTATAGTTATACACTCTCATAATACCACAGACTGGACTTATTTTATGCCTAAAAAGTTATCCTCCCTACACCCCCCATGGCTAACTCTGAAATAAGAGCCACGTTTCCATGGTAACGATCATAGACACCCTCTGAACAGTGGCACCGAAGGACAAAAGAGACGAAAACATGCCTCATAATTTGCGGTTTGCAAACAATGTGGTGGAGCGACTAATGAGAAAGGAAGTTTTCGGAGACTGTTGGAGACGTGCGACAGCGAGGAGACCGTCGACACTTTAATAAATATTAAATATTGTTGACTCTTATTTTACTGTTACCGTTGGAGTTAAGGGAGCTGAGGTTATCCATGGAGTACAGTGGCAGTAGAGAGTCTGGAAAGAGAGACGACGGCATGCAGCGAAGGGCCCTGGGGCCGGATTCGAACCCGGGTTGGTGCGGTAGGGACTCAGCCTTGATGTGTGGTACGTGCTCTACCAGGTGAGCTACCTGGGGGGGGGGGCTTCCCAGTGCTGTTCTCTCTCTTGCTCCCCTGAAACTGCATTGGTGTCAAATTTCCGTTTAAGGCTCCCTTTTTGTTTACAGTCGGGGTTCTTCTGTCACCTCTTTGATTCCAGTTTCTGAAGTCTGTACAAACACACACACACACACACACACACACACACACACACACACACCAAAGTGTCACATTACCACTGTTTGATAGAGAGAAGTGTGTTCGTAGCCAAACATCAGTTTTGCGTCGTGTTTTTTCAAAATTATATCATCAAAACTCTGCAGTACTGTAGTACGGAGTAAGAGTGGGAGGAAGATTTAATTCTTAGATTCATTGTGATTCTTGCTTGAATGGACTTCTTAACATTATGATCATCTGCAACAGAACAGTAGCTGGATGCAGATAAAATGAGGGTTTCCAAGAGTCCTAGAAAACCTGGAAGTTTAGAGACTAGTTTTCCAGTCAAGGAAACACCTGGAAATTGATTAAAATTAGCAAATATCCTGGAAATCATCCTTTTTGTTCTGGAAAATTGTAATAGTATTTCAGCCCTCAGATCAGCTTTATAAACCTGGATGTGTATTTAGTTTGAAACTCGACTGTTGGGAGGACAAGCTGCACAGTATGACACTCCAAAACTGGAGTTAAATGTGTCTGTATGAGATCTACCGGTAAATTATATCACTGTAAGCAAGTAAGAAAAACTCCTGGGAAATGTCCTGGAAACGTACGTTACAAGAATATATATGAAAATGATCCGGTAAAGGATGCATGAGAGTTATTGGCGCAGATAAATCCAGTCATAATAATAATAATAATAATAATAATTTATTTAGAATTCTTTTGAAAAACGACTGATAAGCTTTATGTTCTATGAAAGCCAAAAGTTCAGAACTGTTGTTTGTTGTTGTTGTGTAAAACAATTATGATGTCAGTTATATTAAATTAAAACAGAGCTACATCTCTACGCCTCTCTTACCCTGACATGTGTTAAAACTACAGGTTTTTTATTTTTTTTAAAATACAAATGTGAAATTATTGGTTATCTTATCAGTATCGGCCATTAGTAACAGGTTATTGTATCATATCGGTTTATAATCACATCTTAGCTCTCGGAATCAGAACTGAATCCTGCCTAGAGATTCCCACCCCAATACAGACGAGGGATTGGACGATATACGATATTA